GCTAGCCATAACCATTTAGTAAAAAAGCTGTTTTGAAATTTTAACTTTTGTTAGTACATAAAGTTTGTGCATATTGAAAATTGAGGGGTGGAATATAAATCTATTATTAAATAAAATATTTATTATAGATATCTTTAATACTTTTTTAAGAAGTATATGTCTTTATTCTAGACTAATTATAAAATGTTATAAAATTATTTGTACTTTTTTATAAGATAACTAGGATTTTTATCATCAATATGTTTAAAAAAAATTTCTTATGCCCATAATTATTATTTGACTAGAAATTTGAAAATGATAGATAAATATTTCGCCACTATAAATTTGAAAAAATAGATAAAATTAAGCCAAGGAAAACTTAAAATCGAAATTAATTGATAAAATAACTTAGTAAAGGTGTGATAATAATGTAATATATCCGGCTTTGGCTTTGGAGGGAGGGGGATTTTCCCCCTGCCCCCCCCCCTCCGTAGCGTAAGCGCCTACCACACCAGCATTCTACAAATGTAAATCTGTATTTGATCACTCATAATTTTAATTTTTATTAAAAAATTATAATCGACAACATTCTTAGGCTATGATTTTATAAAAAAAATTATGATTTTATAAAATAAATCATAATTTTTTTTAAACAGCACATTTCTTATATGCTTATTAATCATATTTATTAATGTCTTTTTACTTTTGGCCACTTAAAACAAAATAAGGTGTCCTAGTAGGCTAAGCAGAATAAGTATTGAATATAAGTCGAATGAGGACACACCCTTCATGTTTAAATTCCGCCTGACCATTAATTAGCGTTTTAATATTGAATCATCTATTTATTGAGCTAAAAATATGATCTGGCATCAACTAAGGAATTGTAAACTAAAAACTCTATAGTTCTAACTTGAGGCAGTATAAGAAATTTATTGATTTTATTTACTTAATCGTTATTTTAGACTTATTAGGATATTTATATTTATTCTAGTAAATGTTATTTCATTTTTATATATATTGAATAATAATTTGAAGAAAATATTTAGTTATTTTTTTAGAAGCTTCAACTTTTACACGTCAGATCAGACATTTACTTAATAAAGATTTTACTATGTTAACATAAATGTTTATTGAGCCCTTGTGATTTTCATCGTATATTTTATTATTGATATATGATTGTGCCTCATATAATTCATGCTTTTTATTATTTATTTCGAACGTCAACAGAGTTAGAATCAAGCCCGGATATGCTTCTGCAAATTCATCTCATAAAATGTGGATGTTTTAACAAATCAAGGCTCGAAATTTAAGAAAAATAAGATAAGCCTCAAAAACTATATCGGTACTAGTTATTTATTCTATATCAAAATGTAAAATATTTTGTCATTCTTTAACTGCATTTTTCAACACGTGGTAAAAACAGGCTATTGGCAAAATTAATTTCAACAAATTCTGTCATGATTTAATTTTTACCAAAATAACTGACATTATCTGCACAATTATTCATTACTATGAGTTTAACGTTGGTAATATTTTTAAAATCTTTTTAAGTTTTACTTAGTTAATTTTTTTTTATTTTGATAAAATATCGCAAAACGAAATAACATAAATTAGATATAAAAAAATATATAAATAATATTTATTTCTATAATACATATAAATAAAATTTATTTATATAATACATATAAATAAAATTGAAAAAATAATATAAAATTTCATAATTTTTGATAATTTGGCTTTTTAAAATCATGATTGAATTGTGCTTCTCATCTTTTAAATATAGTATTAAGGAATACCTTCGATAATAAAAATATTGAATCTCAAGGTTCAGAGATATATCAATGTTTGTAAAAGTTTAGTTTTTTATATGAGAGTGGGTATGTTAAATCAACTTTTTATTAAAATATAGCATTCAATTTTAGATTAGTTAATCAAATTGATAAAACACTTCATTTATGTATTGAGACTCGATGGAATAGCAGAGTAAAGATGATTAAATCGATTTTTAATAAATTCAATAAAATATTGGAGATTCTCAGTTCTAGAGGAAAGTAGAATAGGCTTGAAAATATAGATTTTGAAATGATGATGGACATTATCAAGTTTCTGACGCCTTTTAAAATTGCGAGTCATTATTGAATTTTTTAGCTCATTTAAACTTAAACTTGCAGCTTAGCTAGCTATCGCACAGATGCCGGGAAATAATGGTGGATAAATTTCATATAGCTATATTCCACTAAATTTCGACATTTTTGTGCCCAAAATTTCAGGATATGAAAATTTTATCCCGAGAACATTATAAAGATTTGTGCCAACATATTAACACTTTGATTAATGCAGAGAAGATCAGCAGATAAATACCAACTCACCATCTAGCTCCTACTCAACTGATAAGAGTAGTATTTGATTTTCTTAAGAAAATACTGAGTCAGATACGTTTTTGGATTTTTCTCTATGGGAAGCTGACAATGCGTTTTCTGATGCTAGCGTTGAAGTTGACGAACTTCAAAAATACCTAGATGCTAAATTATATATTGAAATTGTTAATATTTTAAAATGGTGGAAGACAAACCATAATGACTTTCCAAATTTAAGTATTTTATCTCTTGAATTCCTAGCTATCCCTGCTTCGCCGGCTAGCAGTGAAAGAGCATTTTTAGCTGCTGGTAGGATCTTTGAAGAGAAAATGACTCATTTAAAGCCAGATAAATTGGGCTCAATTATTCGCTTTATGATACTTTTGATGATATTAATATGTCATTATAAAACGTTTATTAATATATTTTTTAGCCTCCATATTAACTATTATATCATTTACATTTGACATAAATCATGCTTATTGTTTTTATATAATCGCAATAATTTTTAAATTCGATTGTATTTTAACTTTTTATAATATTTTTTACAAATTAAATAAAATGCAACTTAATTTATCTTGATTAGATTATGGGCATCAAATAAACTTATACTTAAGGTGGCGATGAATAAATACAATAAATTTTTTAGGTTATTATAATATTTAAACTCAAATTGTAGAATTTTATTCGGGTTGGACTCAGGTCGGGTTAGACTAAGAATGTGTGCTCGGGCTCGGGTCGAACTCGGATAAAAAAGTTTTTTAAATTCGAGCTCGAGCTGCGAAATAATTACTTTGTATCAACATCCCTGCTTAATTTTTTTACAGATATAGCTTTATAATTGTACTTAATATCTTCAAAATATAGGCTTAAATGTCCATCTTTTTAGGGTTTATCAAATTACCTGAGGTCATATTTTTGCTCAAACACCCGCATATCTTACGCTGACATGAATACCTTTTTGAATATTATTATTTGGTGTAAGGCTAAGGAGGAACATAATAGCTTTAATTTCATTAAATTTTACTATTTATACAAACATTTTGAATTTTAATAATTCGAGAGGTACCCAAAAATGGCCATATTAAGAATCATAAGGCCCAATCCCAATAAAATTTTAATGTAGTTATTGCATGATAGCCCCCCCCCCCCATGATAGATGGCACTGCATCTGTAAACCAATATCTTTGAATAAACTTGTAGTTAAATCACCAAACGCAATTAAGGTTGAACTTAACAAACGAATGACATAAAGATGTAATTTTGACTAGAGTTCAATATTTGGCAATCTTTAAATTCTTGGCGGTATTTACTTATTAGTTTATATTAGAGGATGAATTCTATCAACCAATAAATATAATTGATTACACTTTAAAATATCGGGTTTGCCAACCAGAAGATTGTGATTTCAATATAAAGAATGCATGCCAAACTGACATCTTCTGTTTTAAAATGGATTTATATTTTATATAGTAAACACATTCATAATTTGCTATGAGTAGGGTTGACCAAAAAATATTATAATTAACCACGGCAAATTTTCTTTAAAATTAAAAACAAGTACTCAAAAAAAGTTAACGACTCTACCTAAACTAGGGGCCGGTGAGAAAAGCTTACAACCTTGATTGGAAGATCGGAACTTGAAGGCAACTATTGGCCCACATATGAAGTGCAATTCACCAACATTTGGTCTTGGAACTGTTGTATTTAAACTATCATTATATATTCAGAGACTCCACCCGGTGACAAAATAGGCTTTAAGGAAAAATTAATTTTGTAATTATATTTAAAATCTTTCTACTGCCATTAAATGATATTTTTAGATAAATGTTATAACTAGGAGCGAATTAGGATTTTTGATATAACAAATAATTTACGTCCAATAAAGAAAAAATATGCTTAAATGAAAATTTAAAGAGATCATTGAGGTTTTGACATGTCTATAAGCTTAAATTTATTATACGGTAAAATATTCAGAAATTATAATTATACTCCTCGAGGATGGTTCCATTTATGGTTATTTTATAAGAGATTCCTAATGGGGGTACCTCGGGGGAAGGAATTAAATTATTTTTATGGATCAATTTTTAAAACTGAATTAGTTCAGGTAATGAGTGTAAAACTAATTTATGTGATATTAGCATATTTTTAATTTAAAATTTCCTTTTAATTCTTCAGATAAAATGGCATAAAACAAATTAAAAAATTCTGATTGGTGGGCCAGGAAATTTTATCCCGTTCTTAAGATCACCCAATTGCCACCCTACTATATAGATCAACCTGGTATTTTTGATTTATTCAATGAAAATAAACACAATATTTTAGTGTATTTAAACAATCATTTTGTTTGCAATACTGAAATTATTATTAAAAGAAAATATTTTAAAGTTATAGCACCTGTTTTAAATAAATCAAAAAATGAAAAAATTTTAAGCCCAAACCCAGTCCATTAAAAAAATCAAGGTCAGGCCCGTTATAAATTATATTAGGCCCATACCCGGCCAATGTAGGTTTCTGCGCTACTATATAAAATTTTGCAATTAATTTATTAAACTGATTTAAAATGTGATTATAGTAGTCACTTTTAAATATTAAAATCAAATTTATGAAATAACCACTTTACTTTTTACAAAAAAATATGATAACCTTTATTCTTAATAAATAAAAAATTGAAATAGACAAATTTAACAATATAATTTGATTAGTCAATGAAATAAATGTTTAATATAAAAATATATTTAAATTTATTTTATTATATCACCATTCTTAACACTTCATAGCAATCATTATAGCGATGATATAAAATAAGAACATTTTTGACCTTGTAATTATAGTATCCATTCTCTCAAACAATTTTTTTTACAGAGGAGATACGTCTGAAAGACTATTTCTAAGCTCTAGCCAGTTGAACTATCATGGCTATTAACAAACCTAAAAGTAACAAACCTAAAAGATTTACGATGGCAAATTTGATTAGCTCCCATTTGTTGTTTAGTTTTAATTCTGCTGTGATATTTTGGGGGGTTACCGGAACGTCAGTCGGATTTGAGGCGACGTAGTTGGTGTTGTTTCCATCCAAATTTGTCAAGTCATAGCTTTTCTTATTTTTGTCATGTTTGTTTCTTATATAATAGGCCCGTACAAAATGGATGCTCCACAAAATGATCTCTGCTGTCCCATAAAGAAATACAGCAGCGATCATTAATTTCAGGATGGATTGTATGAAGTCGTTATTTGAAAAATACGTGAACTTTGTTGCCAAAAATATAGAAGCGACGGCTAATAACAAACCTAGGGTTCCTATTAACCTATGAAACCAATTAAAGGTTATTCTTTTAACACTCACACCTGGATGGGGTCTAAAATAAGCAATGATTGGCTGAATAACAGCGAAAATAATTGCCAATATTCCCGTTATTGAATGAGCCAAAGGAACTTTATTGGGTAAATATAGTGGATTATAGCTCCAACCTCGAATCCGTACAAATATTAGTATAGTGGCAATTATTATCAAAATGACGGCCAATATATTGAAAGATCTGTGAATAACAAACCATAGTTTTAACCCGCCGCAATAAGTTTTTTGAGGGCAAAATAATTTTAGGTGCCTGGCATATAATGTCGCTACACTCACTAAAAATATCCACCCTATGAGCATGAAAATACCGTGTAACTTTGTCAAAATATGAATTGAGCTTAAATGACCACCCATCACCACCGCGGAGTTTATTAACAACTGAGCGAGTGCAAATTTTTGTGTGCTTACATGGGGTTTCCTTTGTGCATGATATTTTGGTTCACCGTTATCATTCATATTCCCTTCAACTAAGATTAGATGATATTTTTCTAAATTAGTGTCAGATTGATTTGAGGTTTTGGTGGTAGTTGATATAGGTACAGTATTATCTTGCCTTTTAAGACGTGCCTTCTTGTTATCGGGGGAAATCAATTTGAATACTTTATCATTACCCAATGTCTTATCTTTCGTGAATTTACAAGATATTTTTTGAGTATTTAGTGAATCGACATCTTTAACAAGCTCCACTTTGGTGTCACTCAATCCCAATTTACCATCCTCTATTGGTAGAGCTTGATTTTCATAACCTTTATTGTAACGATTTAAAACTTGGGCATTATTTCCACTGCCAAATATCATGCACATAATTGCACTAGAACCTGCCATCACTTTAGTCGGACCCAGGCCTAAGGCAATATATTTATTCTTTGAATCATTTTCTTTTATTCCTTTTCTTTCTAAGTAGAAATCAATTTTATTTTTATCTTTCGGATTTTGCCTGTGTAATAAAAATATTTGACAAAGTGGAGTAGTCAGATTGTTCATTGACTCTAGCTGGGTAAATTCGCAAACTTCGGGGTCTGAGAAACAGCCATATTCGGTGCCACATTTCGCTCTAGAAGGTTTGGCGTACCATATATCTATGATTGAATTCGTTTCAGTTGTTGACCCAGTTTGAGCATGCGCAAACCAAGGGTATAATAAGATGGTGACGCAAGGAATAATATGCCGCGTAAACATAATTGTATTTGTGTTAAAATATATGGGAAACTTAAGAATTGTGCCTAAATAATTTATAAATAAAAATTAATTAAATTTTTATGTACTTCAATTATCTTCTATAGAAGAATTTGAATGTCATAAAACTAAATTAATATCCACGAAAAATACGAATTGCAATTGTAAATACTTTACATATTAATTTATATTTAATTACACTAATATAAAAAAGAATAATTTTAACTTATATTTGTGATGGTCATATAACATTGAAGCTAGAAAAAAGGAATTGAAAGAAAATTAAATTAAATCTTATTAAATATTTATGTGGTTTTGATTTTGGTATGATTCCAAAATTAGAAATATAATAGGATGTTAAAACTTTAATTTCTTAAATGCATAATTGACTTAAAATTTTTAAAAAAAATATAAACGTGTAAAATAACGAAATAATTGTTTTTTTAAGAAAATTAATCTAAAACCACAAGAACAAAAGTTGACAATTTAATTAAATAATGATTAATTTAAAAAAATGGATTTCTTATGTCTTGCAGCACAGTGCCGACCAAACCATGAAAAAGAATTTAATTATTTAGATTGGGTTTCTTAGAAATTGCGCTGAGTTTCAAGAAATAAGGATTCAAAAAATCGATAGACAGTTTAACGGGTTTCGGATAATCAAAAACTTTATAATACTAAATATACTACAAAGTTAAAATTTTTCCAACAGATGGCTGGACTTCCACCGTTTCGCCGATAATTTTTTAAAAAAGTTTTACATGATTGTTTTAATTAATTATAAATATTATTTTCAAATTATAATAAGTATAATTATTTTAATTTTTTTTAAAAGCTCAAAATTATTTTAATATTTTTTAACAGCTCATTATTTTATTTTTGAATGTGGTCGGTGTATGTTTATTCAATTTTTTTATTTGCTTAATATAATATATTGTTGTAAGGGGAAGGGGGAGGGGGTAGTGTTCCTACACCATTTACGATCTAAAAAATGTCCCCTCATAACAATGGGATTGTTACGTAGTAGTGTATCTCGGATTTCTCCTTGGGTGTAAAAAATTAGTAATATTTTTAATAATAAAATATTTAAAATTTTTTGGAGAAAATCACATGCCCTTTTAACCCTCCCCCTTCCTCTAAAAGTCAATCTTCAATGTTAAAAAGTCAAGTAATATGTCTTCTATTTTTTTAAAAATTATAAATTCACTTACATTTTCAAGATAACTGCTTCTTTCTTGGAGATCCAATATTACATACTTTATAAATTGCAATAAGAATTTCGAAAAAAAATTTGAATTAACTATTCCATGTTTTTGAAAAAAATTATATTATATTATTCGGAATTGTTTTCTTTTCTAAAAATCTGTTTAAAATTATTATATAATAATCATTAACTATTTTTTTTAAATAAAAATTATCTTTTATATTCCCTTGAAGGCTTAAATAAAATCATTACAAAACAAAGTGTCATATAGGAAAAATGTATATAAATTTTTATTTTTAATGTTCCTTTTGGTTTAAAAAAAATAATAATACAAACAAATAAAAATTAAAATAATCCATAAAAAAATTAGATATAAAAACAAGATAGGTTGTATTTCACCTTCAAAAATTGTTGTAGCGTTTAAAAATAATACATTTAATATTATATAGATGATTTTTAAAATAATCTATATTTTATTTTCGATAAAAGTAGCCTTCACATATGCATGGAATGAGATTTTTTTTAAAAAAATATGTCAAAATAAAATTCATTTTAAAATGTATTTGTTTACGGATATATGTGCAAAAAACCAAATAAATATTTAGACATTTCAAATTATTTTTAATAATATTGAAAGAAAATTGGGATACAGCATTAAAATTGTTTTTTTAAACACCACAAAATGAAATGAAGCAAGGATAGTAAATTATAATTAACTAAGTTATAAAAAGTGGCCTGTCAAAAATAACTGGTAATAACTAATGGTTGTAATGAATCACAAACAGTGGCAAATAAGTCTACAAAAATTATGGCTAGAAAATTACTAATTATGATCTGATGAGATAAAACCCTCGTTTTAATAAAATCACTCGGATTTGAATTCAGTGAAAAATTTCTGGATCGGTTAAGATAAAGGAGATTTACTTAAGTGAATTATGAGATCTTCCAAACTATCATCATTCCATCCCAACTCACCCTGAAATATATATTTTAATGATGAAAACCTAAAAAAGAATGAAAATATTGTTTTGTGACTTCTTTTTGAACTAAAAATCGAGTCTAGTATTGAATAAATAATAAATCTTAAAAAATATTTTATTCGTTAAAAAACCAAACTAATTTAGACATAAAAATTATCCATTCACAATTTATATTAAAATTGCCATTATATGAAAAATTTAACAAAAAATACCAAATTATAAAAAAAATATAAGGTTAATTAATATTCCTTAAAAACCAAATAAATATTTATATACTATGTTATGTTAATACATAATACATACAATGCCTATAATATAAATTTTAGATACACCAGCCACTTTTAAAGAAATCATTACCTCGTTTGACTGATCAGGACATATTCTTTAGACTAAAAGAACATGTTAAAATTGCCTAACCTAAGTTCCCAGGGCTTTGCAACTTCCAATTAATTTTAGTATTTTACCCTTGTTCATTCCGTTCTTTTTTTCGGCCTTACTTCTTTTTTCAATATTCTAAACAATAAAAATAAATATTTCAAAAGTATATATTATTTAGGATATAATTATATTTAAAATATAAATGGTTCTACTAAAGAAAAAAAAGGTTTTTATAATGATAGATGGAAAATACAATTTTTAACCATAAATTTATAAAACGAGAAGGAGTTAGAATTATCAGACTTCAAGCCAGAGTTGTTAAAGGATCCTGATATAAAAATTATCTGTATCTAGATACACTTCAAAAGTATATTATCTTGATACTATTTTCCAGGTATTTGTATCTTTTAGAGACTTAGAGATACATTTTGATATGTAATTTAACGCTTTTCTATCTTAAAAATAAAAATATTTGAATGCAATATTCATTTTATCTCATATGTGCATATAATTTAAATAAATATATAAAAATAATATTAAGACTATTATATAAAAAAATCAAAAAAATATATATACAAAATATTAAGACTATTATAAAAAAAATCAAAAAATATATATATACAAAATATTAAAACTTCTATATAAAAAAATATATATAAATATTCATTAAATATTTTTCCCATTTAAATCTATCGATATCAGTTCAAAATTGTGAGGGATATTTTTATCATGTAAAGGAATATATAAATCCTTGCTTGCTTAGCCATGACCTCTATTAATTATTAAAAACAATATCATTGATGCACAAAATTATATCAATAGAATTTTTTTAATTTATAGATAATTCGCTAACTTTTAATTAGCAAATTAAATAAATGCTCATTTTAAATGAGAATTTGTTCAAAAATAAAAATAGGGATGTTGACATTATTTTATTATCTTTTTATATGGTGTTGAATTGAATGAGAACAAAATATTAAAATGCTGTTTACGTATTTTGTGCTCTCATAGTCAGAGTTTCTTTTCGATAACAACAACGAACCCTGTATATATGTATGATAAAAATATATCTATATCTAGATATGTTTTTAGCCGATATATCTGTACCTGTATCTAAGTCCATTTTTAAATGACATATCTATATCTAGATCCATTTAAAAAGTATCTTTTAGCAACTCTACTTAGTACTATCAATAACAAAAAAATAATTAATAAAAAAGAAACGAATATTTTTTTAATAATACAAAATTTTTGTTAACTATTAAACATGAAAAAAATCTTAAGGTCACGCCCGGAACCCAAATAAAAAATAGTTGGCCAATATTTAATCATTTAGAAATGTCATTTGGTTTGGCAGACATCAAGGCATCATAATTCATTTTATTCCCCAAAAAACATTATCCGAGTCAATACTATAAGTAATTAATACGAAGCAATAGATAATATTAACCAATTCAGTGATTAACAAAATTAGTGACAAAACTCTACGGAAGATTATATTGAATTGTGTTGTAAATCATAATTTTAAAATAATAAACATTGGTGATCTGCAAAGCTTGATCTGTTTTGCCCCTTATGAATTTATGCACGTCCCATTATGACTTTCTTAAAAATTTCTTAAACCCGCCATTAATTTGCGAAAAGTCCGTCCGCCAGTTATTTTTTTTTGTGCGAATTTTCCTGTTATCACATTTTTAATATCTATACCTTTTTTCCCTAATGCCAATTGAGGCTCTTATATCTCTCTTCTATAGCTATCTATTTTCTACAATAAGTTTTATAAATTATTTGTGTTATTGGATTCTATCATAAATTTTTTACTTTTTAGTGAATTTACTATTAAAATACAAAGAAATAAATAAATTATAATTTACTTACAAATAGTATTTATAAAAATTAAAAAAAATTAGCTTGAAATTCAAAATTTTTTAAAATTTTTACGAAAAATCAGAGACTTATGAAGTCAGGATTATATATAAATTTTCCGACATGGCCAGAAAATTTTTGTACTAGTTGTCCCACCAGTTCAAAAATTTTTTTGGATGAATTGCCCCACCTGGCCCGTTATTATTTTCCCTGCGTAACCCGTTATAGTTTAAAAATTTCGCGGCCTCGCCCATGGGCTAAAATTTTTAAAGGACCAAGCTGGGCTTTGCAGATCTCTGATTTACATTAAATAAAATTATTAATTATGCAACGAATGTGCAAAACAAATTTTATCGTTCATTTAATAAATAATATATTTTCTGTGTTAAAATATTTATACAAAAAATAAAATACTTTCTTAATAATTTCATTATTGGTGACTTGGTCTTTTGGGAAAAATGAAATTAAATATTATTCATGAATCTAGATGAAAAATTTATAATGCCATATTTATAAAATAATTATAGAAATAAAATTTATTTTGTATTTATTTTGAAGATGACCAACTAAATTATTAATATTTTTGATCTTAAATAGTTTTATTTTCAAAGATAACTAAAAATTATTTATGAGTATATGAGATATAGTAACCACGTATTACTCAAGCGATGGGACACATAACTGAGTATTTTTCAAAAGCAAGTAAATAATAATCCGCTTATTATAAGAGTTAAATGTGTATAAAAGTTATATAATCTAATCAATATAATTGTAATTAAACCATAATTAAGAAAATCTAGTTAGAAATATTC